CAGTCCCTGTGCTTTGCTAAGCTTGTTCTAAGTAGGTGCTTTAGATCACTGAGCCATCTCACCAGCCCAATTTAGGATTTTTTATATTAAGTTAACGAAAACCATTAATTTTGAGTTGGTTCTCATACTGTCACAAAAAGAGACAAAAGTAATGATACTGAAACTGACACTGTGCACAGCGGTCTACTGACTGAATGGAGACACAAATGGTCACTAGAAATTACCCTTCTAGAAGATACAAACATTGGCTCTCATTTGAGATGGGGGCTGTGCAGAGAAATGTTGTTAATCATCAATTTCATTATTTCCAAGTTTATTGTTAACAATATTGTTAATATGGTTATTTCAATATTTTTTATGTTGCACATGTAAAACAAAACCACATTCCGCTCCATCACAACAAAAATGTTATTATAAACTACATTTGTAAATACAAAGCAGAGTGGAATAAGAAATTACGTAAGAGACTACTGAAATGCTGAGATTCTATGACAATATTTCGGTTTATTTATTTTTTTAAAATTCTATTTATTTATTTGTGTGTGTGTGTGTGTGTGTGTGTGTGTGTGTGTGTGTATGGCCAGCTCAGGCCACCAGGGGGCGGGGCTGGCTGGCATGTGGTGCTGGGGGATTGAACCGCAGTTCCTGATGCTTTGCTAAGCTTGTTCTAAGTAGGTGCTTTAGACCACTGAGCCATCTCACCAGCCCCAATATTTAGGTTTATTATTAAAGAAATTTGCAATAATATGCTCAAAGTTGTCATACAGTGGCCAGCCAGTTTTTGTTAATAACTAACAATCTAAATACTTAACAGTCTACAACTATTTATTTGGTATAGGATCTTTCTATATAGCTCAGACTTGTAGTTATCCTCCTGTCTCAGCCTCCCCAGCACTGGGATACAGGTGTGCACCACCATGCCTGGTTTTGGTGGCTGGTGTGGCATATGCCTGAGGTTCCAGGGCTGGCACAGCATGCGGTACTGGGAATTGAACCCAGGGCCTTGCGCTTGGCATGCAGGTGCTTAAACTGTGGAGCTATCTCCCCAGCCCTAACATTCTAAAAGATCAAGAATAAAAAAATTGAAAATTAAATAACCATATAAACAACTGTCTTTGAAAGAAGTTAAAAGTCAGCTGGAGCTATCAAGTTTATACCTGAGAATGAGAAATTGAAAGATTTGGACTTTCTTTACACCTCATAACTTCATCTTCCTCAATAATTAAATTTGGTTCTGCAAAAAAAAAAAAAAAGTTAAAATGGTATAAACTTGAATTGTTAGTTAATTTATATTTTTGTTGAGTTTTTTTTTACCTCCCATTTTAGAAGCTCTTGGGTTTTTTTTCTGTTCTTCCATTTTAGTTTCAAAGTCAAAATCATCCTACATAATTAAGAAAAAGATGAACACATTTAAAAAAATCAAGGGTAGAATTTATGTGAAGCTTAAATATAAAATTCTAACTATTTGATGCTTGCTAGACTTATAAGTGGTCCTAGAATTATTATCACAACAAACTTGCTTGTTTTTATTTTTTTTGATACTGGGGATCGAACTCAGACTTTGGCCTTGCCAAGCTGGTGTTTATGCCACTGAGCTGTATCCCCAGCATAACTTAATTAATTTATTCAAACAAAATATATTCTACTATTTTCCCTACCTTGTGGGATTATTTTAAGGACAAATGATAAAAATATTCAACACATGATAACTGTAAGAATCCTTAGATTTTACTATTGTTTAATGGCACTGTATTAGACACGTTCATACAACAAACTACCACTTCTTTTTTAGAGGGTCTCACTATATAGGTCAGGCTGACCTTCAACTCACTATGTAGCCCAGCCTGGCCTCAAATTCACACCTGGCTACCACTTCTTTATCATTTTTTTTTTTTTTTTTCCTCGAATGCCTTCAGGGCACTTTCGGCCAGCGGGAGAGGTGTGAGGTTCGAACTCCAGCCACCTGAGGCTGACAGCTTTGTGGAAGCAGCCACTTAAAGGCCTGAGATAGGGCCAGGCCCCCTTTATCATTATTTTTGGGACTGGTAGGAATCAAACCTTGGGGGGTCTTGTGCATTTTGAGCAAGTAGATATATCTCCAACCCATAAATTACTTTTATAGTTTTAGAACATCTGTGTGTTAGCATATACTCTGGCCATGTCATACCTCTCATCAGGAAATTAATGGTGAATAGGTTACAGTATGGTAAAAATAGCAATTTAAAATTCCAATTATAACATCGTTGTCTTTGTGACATGTTTGTATGTAAAAGAGACTCAAATAAGGAATGCTGCAAGCCAAACACAGTGCTACACACCTGTAATCCCAGTACTTGGGAGGATGAGACAGGAGGAACACTGAATTTGAGGCTAGCATATATTGATATCCTGTTCCAAAAAATTATTAAGAAAAGGGGCCAGGGAGATGGCCCAGTGGAGTAAGCGCTTCCCTGGCAAGCGCAAGGGCTTGAGTTCAATCCCTGGTTCCGAAAAAAAAAAATTATTAAGAAAAAAAGAATCCTACGAAACTCTCAGCTGTCTTTGTTTATAAAGTAATGCTAGGATTTAAATTTTAGGAAAAAGTTTTCTTCTCTGACTGAATTGGTTAAACCTTGAGTTTTCTGTTTGTAAAACTGCGATTATTTGTCAAGCGAATGTGAAAACCACTGCACTACGAAACTGTTTTAAAACTGTGACTATTTGTAAAACAGATCGTGGTTCAGAATAGTGAACCTCTGTGTATATACTATGTAATTTAGAATAAAATGAGACAAGAGAAAACAAAAAAGTGAGATTAAAGGTATATGTTAAAGCTGAAAGATTAAAAGAATGACTTTCACATTTGCTGAAAATGAGAAGAACCAAAAAATATTCTTTCCTACTTCTATTCATCTACACTGTAACCAATAATGAGACCTGAAACTAAATCTAAGTGCTAGATACAGGAGAATTAGAAACTGAAGAAGATATTTTTCTTGAAGTCCAAAAACTTCTAGGAGACTTCAGGAATGACTTTGTAGGTGCTGAAGAAATTAATGCACAAGCCATACAATGGATACCATCATTAGCTGGGGAAGTGTACTAGTCCAGTGGTATTCAAGTTCTGTCTGACAGTCTTTTGGGTTTCTTGAGACTCCACTATGAGCACAGACATAAGTTGCTAGGCTTCTAGGACCATTCCTTGCTTTAGTAAGAATAGTTGCACTTTTAAATTCTGAGTATAATATTGTTTCAATCAAAGCAAAAAAAAAAATTGAACTTTGTGTATACTTTAAGGTCCCTTTCAACCTTGAGATTATCACTAGAATACACTACTTACCCAAATATTAACCAGAGCTATTAAAGTCCTCAGAATTAAATCAAGCATTTATGTTATTTTATAACTCTGGAAATACACTCACACTTATATACTGCTCCCGTTCATCTTCTGCATCTTTATCCACCAGCATTTTCTCAAGAGGTGTTTTTAATTCTTTTGAAAATATCATAGTTGAATCAATATTTTCCATTCGTTCTTTCTCAGTGGTCACTTTTACTTTGAAGGTATGAAAAGGTGTTGGGACTTCTCCTACATTTAAGTACATAGGGTCTCCTTCAAATATGAGTCCTTCACAATCACCATCCTTAAAACCAGGAGGTTGGTAATCTGGGGGTGTAACTGCAAAAAAGCAAGTATAAACTGTGTTGTTTATAAAACTGAAGAAACTATTATAAAAACACAAGCAGATGCTGGGGATATAGCTCAGTGACTACACCTGTCTGGCAAGTGTGAAGCATGAGTTTGAATCCTAGTACCAAAAAACAAACAAACCACAAACAAATTAAAATTTTAGAATATAAAAGTACCTAAACTGAAAAATAAGAATCACCTGCCTCCTACTTCCAAGTCCCCATTTTAACCTTTGTTTTTCTTCACTGGCTGGGTGACCGTGAGCAAATTATTATTTTTGTTGTTGTTGTTTCTGAGACAGGGTCTCATTATGCAGTTCAGGCTGGCCTTGAACTCACTATGTAGCTAGCTCAGGCTGGCCTCAAACTCAGGGTCATCCTCCTACCTCAGGCTCCCATGTGCTGTGATTACAGACATGTGCCACCACATCTGGCTCCAGCAAATTCTTTATCATCCCTGTCAGATGGGGAAAATCAAAATATTTATACTCATAGGGTTATTGTGGGTAAAAGTTGAAATAAATGGTAAAATGTTCAAAACAAAAATGGTGAACAAGTGTTGTGGTGCACCCCTGTAATCTCAGCACTCAGGAGGCTGAGGCAGGAGGATTATGGTGAGTTTGAGGCCAACCTGGGATACACAGATTTTAATTTATTTATTTTGTTTATTTATTTGTGTGTGTGTGGCCAGCTCAGCCAACCTTGCATGTGGCGCTGGGCGATTGAACCGCGGTCCATGTGCATTGCTAAGCTTGTTATAAGTAGGTGCTTTAGACCACTGAGCCATCTCACCAGCCCCTGATACACAGATTTTAATACCTGCTTAATCATGTATTGAGACTCTGTCTCAAAACCAAACCAAACCAGCACAGAGCAAGTATTGGATAAATCATAGTTATTATTGTCATTGTTTTATGCTCCAGTAAACATTATGTAAGTAATAAAAAGTATAATGTTACATGTATATGTTAGGGGAAATACAGTACCTATATATTATTTAAAAAAACAAATAAAATCATGCTGCTCTGTATCCAGTTATTTTTTTTTTTTTGTGGCTGCCTCAGCCCACCCTGGGAAGGGGGTTGGAGCAGCATGTGGTGCCAGGGATCAAATCGCGGTCCTCGTGCTTGCCTAAGCTTGCTTAAGTAGGCACTTTAGTCTGCAGAGCTATTTTGCCAGCCCTGTATCTAATTATTCTTAATATGTAAAATCTCTTGGACAATTAATCACCATTCCTTTTAACAGTTTGCACAGTATTCTATTATAGTATATATTACCATTTACTTAATCCCAAAAGAAGGATACTTAAGTCATCCCATCCAATATAGCTAATGCTATAATAAAAATTCTTACACATAGTATGGTCTTATTTTGGCAAGAATATCCTTAATATTGTTTTCCAGCAATATAATTTTTAGATTAAAATTTAAAAGATATTTTTTAGATTAAAATTTTGATATTGCCAAATTGTTATCTAAAAATACTGCATCTATATATATTCCATCAAGAATATAGCTGAGTACAGTGGCACATGCTTGTAATCCCAGCACTCTGGGATACTGAGACAAGAGTTTCAAATTCAAATCTTGTTTGGGAAACTTGGCAAGACCTTGTTCATAATTTAAAAATTAAAAAAGGGATTGGAAATACAGCTCAGTGATACAGCACCCTGGGTTCAATATCCAGAACTGTGTGCACGCACGCACGCGCGCACACACACACACACACACACAGTATATAAAAGTGGCTGCCTTTCCATACCTTGGCAATAAATTTATAAGTTTTACCAATGTGAAAAGTGAAAATTGGTGTTTCATTTTTTAAATTGTAAGTAAAGTTATACTTCACATGGACATATTCCTCAGTAGAGACATGTATCTTTTAGTCTTCCAATTTTTTAAAATACTGATATTAAATGTAATTTTTATAATTTCAAAAAATACGTAACACTTTCTAAATGCTCATAGTGATCCTCCTGTTTACAGCCTCCCAAGTACTGGGATTACAGATGTACACCACCACGCCCAGTCTCAATTGCTGTCTAAGCCCATCCCAGGGGTGGGGCCAGCATGGCAGGCCAGGGGACTGAACTCTGGGCCCTTGTATCTGCCTAAGCAGGTGCTTTAATCTGCTGAGCTATTTGACTGGCACACTAAAGAGTAATTATTTGGGCATTTTCTTATGAATAACATCAAATGGCAGATGAAACCAGTGCAGTAGGAGGGCCTGTATGCCCTGAGAACCCAGGCTGAGCCCATGGGATTTGCAGCATAATACTAAGAACAAGGAGTGAATTCCTGTCACCAAACCTGGATGACAGTTTAAGGACATGAAGATCAAGTCCCTGGAAGAAATAGATCTCTTCTCCTTACCCATGAAGGAGTTTGAGATTGACTTTTTCTGAGCATATCCCTCAAGGATGAAGTTCTGAAGATCATGCCTGTGCAAAAGCAAAATTAGGCTGGCCAGAGGACCAGGTTCAAGGCATTTATCACCATGGGAATGTCTGGGTATAAAGTATTCCAAGGAAGTAGCCACTGTAATTCACAGGGCCATAATCTTGGTGAAGCTCTCCACTGTCCACAAGCAGAGAGGCTAGTTGTGGAACAAGACAGGCAAACAACAGTGTCCCTTCCAAGGTGACAGGCCATTATGGCTCTGTGTTGGTATGTCTGATCTGTGCCACACAGACAATGTGCCCAAGAAGCTACTTCTGCTGGCTGGTATTGATGACTGTTATACTTCTGTGAGGGGCTGCAATACCACTCTAGGCAACTCTTCTAAAGCCATCATTTTTTTTTTTTTCTTGTGGTACCGGGGATCCAATTCAGGACCTTGCGCTTGCAAGGAAGACACTTATGCCACTGAGCTACATCCTCAGAACTTTGATGTCATCTCCAAGATCTACAGCTACCTAACTGTGAAACTCTCTGGAAGGAGACTGTTCTATCAAGAATTTATTAACCAACTTGTGAGAACCTGTATCAGAGTCTTTGTCCAGAGGACTCAAGCTCTAACAGTAATTACAACGTAAGAAATTTTATGCAAGAGAAATAGAAATGAAGTCTATCAAAAAATGTTTGGAATAGATAGCAACTGTTTCAATAATAAAAACATAAGTATCAAAATTAGGCATATTGCAAACAGTACCTTCATCATAGTAAAACAGTTTCATGGTCAAGCAAACATCATTTGGTAAAGGTCCCAGATTTTGCATTAGAATATAAATCTTTCGAATGAGGAGAATACTTGCTTTCTTGGTGTCAGCAGATGACATACTAGATTCACTGCTTTGATTTTTACTAGAAGAGAATCAGACAGTTTCATTCATAAAAAGTTACTTTTCATATCCAAACTTTACATCTTGAGATGCTTATTATCATAGCATTAAATTGCTATCACAAATTGTTCTTTATGTTGCCAGTATGAAATTTAATGTCACTATTAACATACATTATAGTGGTGGTTGATACACTGTGTCATCTAGGGAAGTTGAAAGCTTGGCTGGATGCGCTCACCACACCCTAGAGCATGGAGGGTCCTCACAATGGTATGGAGGGCCTGCCCTAGGGCGTAGAGTGACTCAGCAGAAAAAGGATATAAAAGAGAGTTAGAAAAAGGAGCTCTAGTCTATAGTCAGTGTAAAAGAAAGGGCGCCACTTTCTTGGAGGAGCTTGTCTTCACAGTCAGCTTAAAAAAAAAAACAAACAAAAAACAGAGAGGCTTGCTAAAAGCTACAGCTGTGTCTCCTCCCTTTGCTCTTTGCTGTTTTCCACTGCAGTAAACTGTTGAGTTCTGCCATGTGCCTGACTGCCTTAGAGCCAAAAAGTATAGACTAAAACCTCTACTGTGAGCTAAACAAACCTTTCCTTCCTTAATTTTGGGTGTCAGATATTTTGTCCCAATATCAAATACAAAGTAACAGAGACAATTATAAATTAACCAAAAAGTTAATTTTATACAAATAAAATTAAAGTATTTAATATAAGGTTTAAAGAAACCAAATGATGGATTTTTTTTGTTTCTAATCATCTGTCACCCTTTTCCATAATTAAAACAGTATATAATTAGCCACAAAATGCTATTTTGTAGCTATTCCAAGGCACTACTCTATTTTGACAGCTAAATCTTTTTTTTGTGTGTGTGCATGTATTTAGGGAAGGGTCGACAGGGCGTTCAGGGTCTCACTATTAGATCAGACTTGTAGTGATTCGCCTGTTTACAGCCTCCCAAGAACTGGGATTACAGATGTGTACCACCACCCCCAGTCTCAATTGCTGCCTCAGCATACTCTGGGGGGGGGGGGAGCCAGCACAGCAGGCCTAGGGACCAAACTCCTGGCCCCTGCGCCTGCTTGCAGGTGCTTTAATCTGCTGAGCTATATGGCCAGCCCAATAGCTACACCTTGATGGTTGACGAGAGGTTTGAGAAGTTTCACACTTTATCCTGAAGTTAGGGAGGCACTGTTGCACACAGCTATAAAATCAGCCTTTTAGGAAGCTGAAACACAAAGATAAGTTTGAGGCCAGCCATACAACTTATGAAGACTCTGTCTCAAAAAATAAAACAGGGCTGAGGGTGTAGCTCAATGATAGTGTACTTGTCTACTGTATTCAAGGCTCTGGGTTCAGTCCCCAGCCCCCTATAATTAATCTTGAAGTTTAACAACATAGCATTAGTAAATAAATGGTACTATATGTATAGAAAGAAAATTGTAGAATAATACCTTACAAAGTCCATTATTGGTCCATTTTTGGTGTACTTGAATTTAAACTGGTAATATTCTGAAATTGTCTTAAATAAAAAAAATCAGAGTTATATATATAACTGATACATCATTCTGCCTGGTAAAGAGCTACTACCTGTTTCTATATGACTCAACATTTAGTCAATAGATTTTGACATATTTATACCTATTGGCCCAATGAAGCTTCCAAGCCTCAGCTAATTCCTATAATCTGGGATTTAGAATATAGTCATGGAAAGATCTTTATTTTCCCACTCATTGCAATGCATGTTGTATATACCAAATGTTAGGAACTTCTTAGCAGGTAGGTAAGGGAAATATCAAATCTCAGAAGAGTGGTTAAATGCTATGGCTTGAATGTATCTCCAAAAGTTTGCCGGGGAGATGGCTCAGTGGAATAAGCGCTTCCCTGGCAAGCGCAAGGGCCTGAGTTCAATCCCCAGTTCTGCAAAAAAAAAAAAAAAAAAAAAAAGATTCCAAAAGTTCATGTGTTTTTGAAAATCCCCAGTGTTTAGAATGGGACCTTTAGTAATCAGGTCAAGGGGACACTGAGTTCATGAATGGATTATGCTGGTATCATGGGAATTAGTTGGTTATGGTGGGAGTGGGTTCCTGATTAAAAGGATGAAATGGGCCATCACACTGCTCCATGATGCAGCAAGAAGGCCCTCACAAGATACCAGTATCCACTAGATCTTAGATCTTCCAGCCCCCAGAAGTCTAGGACATAAAACTCTGTTCTTTATTTTTTAAACTATGTTTTAATTTTTTTCATTTGTGTATGTGGTGCAGGGTCTCACTACGCAGATAGGACCCACAGTGGTCCTCCTGTTTTCAGCCTCCCCAGCACCAGGATTACAAGTGTGCATCACTACACCCAGACTCTGTTATGGCTCATTGAGCCCTGGGGGGCGGGGCCGTTATAGCATGCAGGACAGGGATAGAACCCTGGTACCTGCACTTGCCAAAGCAGGCGCTTAGTCCACTGAGCTATCTTGCTGGCCCAAACCTCTGTTCTTTATATAATTTCTTAATCTCAGGCATTCTGTTACAGCAGCATTAAAACATTAAGACACTGCTATTGTTTGAATGTTCTTACCAAAAGTCAAGTTGAAATTTAATCCCAATTATAGGTAGTAAGAAGTAAAACCAGGAATTAAAGTAAAACCTTTAATTTAAAGGGATTAGTCATGAAGTTTCTGCCCTCATGAATAGACTGATTTATTCATAGATTAATGGATTAATGGGTAGTCTCAAGAATGGATCTGTTATGAAAGTTTGATATTCTCATTCTCTGTCTGTCTGTCTATCTACTGTGCAGTTCAGGTTGGCCTTGAACTCATTTTGTAGCCCAGGCTGGCCTAGAACTCATAGGAATCTTCCTGCCTCAGCCTTTGAAGTGCTGGTATTATAGACATGCACTGCCTTGACACTGTCTCATGCATGCATGCATTTGCTCAAACAATCAACTGTGCAACTTGATTATATATTACACACTAACTGCTGGCATGAGTATCACAGAAATGACACATTTCTAGCCCTTTTAAACCTGGAATGCTTTGCTTTCTTTACATTTTAATGCTCAGATGGGATGGAATCAGTCTCTCTCTTCCTCCTTCCCAGCCCCCTCTTTAAAATCAGTTTAAATCCGCTACTTCATGACTGAGTTAAATATTATATTGTACCACCTATAATATAAAGGTTAAGAACATAAATGGTGATCTGGCTTTCTAAGTTGAAATCCTGATTCTGCTACTTCTGCCAAAGAACCTATTTAGCAGAAGCTACTTCTGTTTCTTGTATTTTTTGACCTTAGGCAAAAAAACCTTGTATCTAGATTTCCTAATCTGGAAAGTGGAGATGACAATGGTAACTGCTTCATGAAGGCTGTGGGGAATAAATTAGGGATAATGAATTTATAGCTTTTAAGAACAGAGCTTAATAGAAGATAAACACTTAATACATTTTTCTCTCTCATTCCTTGTCTTCTAGTTTTCCCTTTTGTTTCTCATCCACCCTTCTCTCTTAATTTCAGATGAAAAGGTAAATGTATCTGGATTAGAATGAATATTCAAAGTCTAAGAATAAGGTTATTTCCCCTAAACTGAAGTCTTTTCATAATTCCAGATAAAGTATATACATATATGTGTATATATATTTTTTATTTATAATAAATTTTATTTTCATTATTCCATTTAACATAATTTCAAAATAGGTCTGTGCTCTAAGATGAGCAAAAGAACACACCAGAGGTTTTTCATAATGTTCTGAGCAGGGCATGAGACTTTGGGGTCCCCAATGTTGGCACTAGCATTTTATTGATTGTGATTTTTAACTACTGATACAGAAACAAGAGGTAAGCTCACTACTGAAGAACCAACCACATGAGGGCATCATTGAGCTCCCTGCTTATACAACCACCTCTGAAGGGTGTGATGCTAGTGACTAATGCTTTTCCTCACCAAGTTCAATTTTTTGTTTTAAGTAAAATGCTAAAGTATGTACATGTTCTACATTTCTTCAATACATTTAAAAAGTGGAAGTCCGGAGGTTTTTAATTCTTCCTGAGTTCAAGCTGGAACTGAGCACTATGAATCTGGTCTGCTCAATACATTCAGTCCAATTTTAGCAACCATCAACAAACTGGCACCTGCCATTAAAATCCGCAGGCATAAATTTTCCAGAATGGTAGAATCTTATTCCCATAATGCCAACCAAGGTCCCAGATGTAACGAGGAAAACCCAAATATTCTTGGGGTCCTGAGACAGCTGGTAAACATCCAGGCTCGCTAAGCTCCCCAGAAGGAGCCCAGCAGCCAGGCTTGGCACACTACCTGCTTTTGCATAGCCATTGATCCCACTGGTAGCAAACAGTGTGGTGTAGCCATAGCCAAAATAATGTAAAGGCACTAGTGGGCCAAGGTTCCTCTGAATTGTTCTCTGTGTCCAGGTGGGTAACCATGTCCAGGTGGGTGACCACAACAAGCCGGCACCTGGGCTGTGATTCGGATCAAGGTCTGGATCAAGGTATACACATGCGTGACACAGACTGAATCCCAGGAGGGGCTTTATGTATATATTTATCTATACAGATAGTATTTGGTACAGGGTCTCACTAAGCAGCTTGGACTCATACTGATCCTCCTGTTGTCAGCCTCCCCAGTGCTGGCATTACAGGTACCACACCTGGTCTCAGGTAAAGAATATTTAAACAAGCCCCAAGTTAGATAATTTATTTTTTATTTTTATTTTTTATTTTTATTTATTTGAGAGAGAGAGAGAGAGAGAGAGAGAGAGAGAGAGAGAGTGTGGTGTGTGTGTGTGGCCACCTCAGCCCACCAGGGGGCGGGGCAGGCTGGCATGTGGTGCTGGGGGATTGAACCGCGGTCCCTGATGCTTTGCCAAGCTTGTTCTAAGTAGGTGCCTTAGACCACTGAGCCATCTCTCCAGCCCCAGATAATTTATTTTGAACTTCTGTATGATTTGTGGGTTAGAATCAGTTCCATAATCTCATGTAGTAAGTGGATCTATCTATTTAAATATAATAAGTACCACCGCAGAAGTTTTATAAAGCATAAGCATGAAAGTACATTGATTAAAAAAAACAATTTAAAAGGATATAATGTTAATAAAGTCTTATTTTTAGATACTAAGAACATTATTTCTTTACTAATTCAACCATACTTACCTGAGGGTCTTCTGGATTGGTGTACACCTATTTAAAAATAATTTATAATTAAGTTAGGTTAAGAACTCAGGAAGAATTAAGGTGGATATTTGGACTAATGTATTAAGTGAATTCAGCAAAACAGAACAAAATGACTCCCCAAGATATTAAATTATTACTTTTTCCCCATTCAACCAATCAACTATTTGTAAAAAGTGACATAATCAGTAAATACTTTCACCATCACTTAATGAAAAGACTGAATTTAATAGTCTTTAAAAATATATACAATTTTTGAGCTGGGAATATGGCTCAGTGGCACAGTGACTGCCTGGCAAGCACAAGGTCCTGAGTTTGATTCCCAATTAAAAAAAAATTAAAATTAAAAAATATATAATTTTAAAGTACTTACAGCTAAAATGACCATCCTTAGCTGAAATAAAACAGAAAACAAAAATCTTATATTCTATAAAACAGTTTTTCATCATGAATCACAAAAAATTCTTTGTCCTATGTTAGGGGCTAGAGATATAGCTCAGTGACAGAGCACACACATAAGGCCCTGTCAATCCCTTGCAGTCCACCAAAAAGAGAATTCTCTGTCATTTTTCAACATTCTTTTTTTTTTTTTTTTTTTTTTTTGTGGAACCGGGGATCGAACTCAGGCCCTGCGCTTGCCAGGGAAGCACTTATTCCACTGAGCCATCTCCCCAGCTGCTCAACGTTTATTCTTAGTAACAAATAATGATTTCACAGAACTTTCTCCATAGTCAATACTTTATAGATGGTTCCCTATTCCTCCAAATGTCAATTCTATTTGACTTGTTAATGGCTGAAATTCACACTAGTATTTTATTTTGTTGACTTAAGCAAAGAGAGTATTACTGCTAGTTTCAAGGAAAATATACTGTAAACACATTAAACATCATCAATACGAGACATGGTTTTGAAAGAAGAAAAAAAGTGGGCGTACAGAAGTCTATGTAATTTAACAAAGGGAAGAGGCTTTGGAGACGAGAGGAACAGATAATAATTCACTTAAGTGACCTGACCAAAAAATCTACATTCTTGAAGTTCTTTTTTCCCCCATTTATCCCACAACCAATACATCAACAAATCCAATAGTTTCTACTCCCAAATCTATTCTGAATCTCACCTCCACCATCATGCTCTTAACCTGTCACTACTTCTCAGGTCTTTAGAGTAATGGCTTAAGTATTACTCCTCTTATATCCAATCTTATTTTCCTTTCACAGTATAGTCTATAAATAGCAGGGAAAGTGATTTTTAAAACATTTTGTAATATAAATCAAGTGATGCTTTTCTACTTATAACCTTCAAGTGGTTTTTCTTTCCATCTGAAATAAAAGCCAAGCTTCTCACCTACACAGCATTGAATATTCTGGCCCTATTTATCTTCCTGTGATCATCTGATGCCATTGTACAACTGCACAAATGCTCTCAAAGTGTATTTGCTTTGGTTGAGTTTCCAGAACTCTAAATAAACTTCTCTAAAATTCTGATGTTCTGCTGGGGATATCTCTCCCCAGACAAATGTCAGCTGGTTTCTCACTCAGGTCTCAGCTTAAAGATCATCATTTCAGAGACTTTCCTCTGACTATTTCATCTAAAATTAATCCACCCCTCTACATATCACAGTTTTTCTACAAATTTTAACACCATCTAAAACTGGGAAGGCTGGGCATGGTGGCACATATCTGTAATCCCAGCACTTGGGAAGCTGATGAGGCAGGATTTTTCCAAGTTCGAGACCAGCCTGGGCTACGAAGTGAGCTAAAGGCCAGCCTGAACTGCATAGTAAGACCCTGTCTCAGAAAGACAATAAATGAATAAATAAATGGTAGTATTCAATTGTTTTATTGACTATTTTCTTCCATTAGATGAGATCTCCTTTTTTTTGTTGACCACTGTTAGCTTACCCTGCTCCTATATCAGGCTCCTACTATCATACCTTAAAATAAGGAAGATTAAGAATCATGGATAGAGGGCTGGGGAGATGGCTCAGTAGAATAAACGGCTGCTTGACAAGTGCAAGGGTCTGAATCAAGCCCCAGTTGCGCAAAAAAAAAAAAAAAAAAAAGAATCATGGATAAACATTAATTTTTACAACTTTGCTAGAACTGGACTTGTTTATACATGTATAAAATTACACTAAGTATGAAAAAGGCTAATAATCTACTATAGAATCTTGATTTTACTCATTCAGAATTTGTGAAAATTTAACCTAGACTACAACTTTTGCATCCTAATTAAAAATAATTTGTTAAGTTATTAGTACAAACAAGATTATAAAAGGCATGTAAAAGTAATGGATGAACTATTTATTTTGAGACAGGATCTCACCATGAATTCAGGTTGAACTCACTATGTAGTCCAGGCTGGCCTTAAACTCGAGGTGATTCTCCTGCCTTAGCTTCACAAATGTTGGGACTACAGGCATGCACTACCATGCTTGGTTGAATGAACTATTTTTATGACATTTTCATTCATTATTTTAAAAAATCTGTATGTGCTATCAATATCAATGAGCAACTTCTCATTGATACAAAAAACCCCCCAACAGGACTCAGGTCAATAATTTCTGACATTGCCAGTTAAACAGAAGACCCAATGCTATTATGGGCTACTGGACTCTTTTGGAATGTTTTGCTGAGTTTACACACCTATAATATTCAATAATGGAACTTAGAAAAAATGGGGTATACTGATGAATGTCCATTTTGTATCTGTGTATTCAAGGAGGTTGGGATAGATATATAGTTGCATTCTCTTATTGAATAGAATGATTTGTTCTAATGGTGTTTGTAAATAGGATCACAAGTCCGCATCTTGTACAGCAATTAACCACTAAGAAGAATATATGCAGTGTGTTATTTGTTGAAACTGTACTTCCGATTTGATTTGAAACTGTCTCATTGCTGTTTATCAATAAAACTTTGAAAAAAAAACCCAACAATGTACATTAACAAAAACTAGCATGGCAAGCAAGGTGTGGTGGTGCACACCAGTAATCCCAGCACTTAGGAGACTGAGGCAGGAGTATCACCATGAGTTTGAGGCCAGCCTGGCTATATACTTACTAAGTTCAAGGGTAGCCAGAGCTTCTTGGAGAGACCCTGCCTCAGAAGACCAAAAAACAAAAAACCAAACGTAGGTTGGCAAGTTTGTTTAATACTGATTCCATTAGTTTTAAATGAGTTAAAGATTAGTTTTTAAAATATTAAAATGTTCAGACTTTTCAGTAACTCAAATTGGCCTATCTCCATGTTAATTTAATGCTCTATTGCATATTAATCAGGCTTAGAGAATATAAAGTATAGAAAAAAGATAGAAATAGTAACTTACATATTTTTTCTGTAAAGCATCATAGCACCCTAGCATCCTAAAAGAAAAAAATAAAGATTCATTTTTAAACAATGAATTCCAGAAAAGTTTTCATAACTCTTCATATTGTCTCATTACAATAATAATAACAAATTTTAAATAATAATAAATAATACTACAATTTCTTACTAAAGCATTCATTAATTAGCTTGAAAATAAGACAAAACAATTATCTCAGTGGAACAGTGTTTGCTATTAGGTTCAATCACCAGCATTATGAGAGAGAGAAAGAGAGAGGAAGAAAAAAGAAAGATGTTAGGATGATGGTGCAAGCCAATAAGCCAAGCACTTTAGGAAACTGAGGCAGTAGGATCATGAGTTTCACCCCCATTGGACAATTTCATTACTTAACAAAATCTTGTCTAAAAATATTAAAAAGGGCTGGGAATGTAGTTCAGTGGTAGAGTACTTTTTGGGTTCTATCGCTAGTGCTGCAGAAAAGAGAAATAAGCAATATGGCAGAAATACACGATGACATATGGAAAGGGAAATGAAATAAAGGGTGATTTTAACACAAAAATTCAAAGATCTGCAAGCCTGGTGCCCAGCATTAAATGGTAAAATTTGGTTAAAATTTGAAAAGTATCTAATGTATAAAATTATTTGATTTTAA